ATCTATTTCTCTGGTCAACTATTCACTTATGACATCCTACATGGTTAGCTCTGGCTTGAAGTCTGAATAAATTAGCTTAAGAAAACAATTACACTGAAGAGAAGAAAGCAAGGAGATGAGACTGGACTGGACTGGAGAATTGTAACTATATAACTAAGATTTGAATCAGGAGTAGTACTGAGCACTGAGTACATGATATAATAAACTAAAAACTTCAAATAACCCTAATAACAAAAAGAGGCTGGCATGACTTCAAACCTTAGGGATTCTAGGGAGGGAGGAAGGGAGGAAGGGAGGGAGGGAGGGAGGGAGGGAGGGAGGTTGGTTGGTTGGTTTAAAAGTGGCAATGGGAACCAAGTGGGACATCAACCCTACTTCCAGGCCTAGCGGTAAAAGGGGTATAACAGAGGAAAGAGCTATAAAGTAAGTAATATCCTCTGGAAAGAGCTAGTTTGGGAGAAAAAGTCTAGAAAGCATTCAAAAGAGAATAATGAAACAGCGATCGGGTGTTGATTATGGCTACTGGTAATTTAGAAAAGACACCATGAATATTTCAGTATCTATGAAGGATATAAGTCAATGCACTATGCTATGAAAGTTAAATTAAACATGATTGGCTTATGTTCTGGTGAAAGCATCTTATCTCATTGTGGACAGGGAACCAGCAGTGGTTCATGGGCCATGCTTTGAGTAGCACTAGTCTAAAAAATGAATGATGATCTAAGAATCTTAAAGTGACTGACATAAACAGGAATAAAGGGCCAAACAAAATAGCTCTCTGAGGTCAAATGAATGGATGGTAGATTTATGATCGGTTGAGATGAAAAGAAGGTATAGATGTTGCCCAGAAGCATGGCAGAGTTTGAGAACCTTTTTCCCTCCCAGTGGTAGTATGGAGAAAGAGCATGGAGAACTATTTGGCAACCCTGGTTCTCAAAACACCAGAACTACCCTATCTACTGTTGTAACCAAAACCCACATATTTCTAAATGCTCTCCCAAGAAGAGCTGTACAGTATCTTATTAGGAACTCTTAACTCGAGAGTTCAGGTTCACTTTCTTCTCAATTTAGGGATAGAAATTCCAGTGGGAACATCTAAAAATCAATGTACAAGAACACTTTTGGCATGGAGACACTATGTAACTGTAATAATATAAGGAGTCAGGCATGGTGTCTCATGTCTATCACTGCAGCTACTTGGAAGGTTGAAGTAGGAAGATGCAGAGTTCAAGGCCAGCCTACTTACAACACAGTAAGACAAGTCTTAAAAAAAAAATGAATAACTAGGAAAAAGAGATTTTACAGTTCCTACTTTATTAAAGATGAATGAATCAAGTGGGAGGCTGGTAGTACTGCACTTCTTTCTTTAAATATATATTGTGTATTTTTAGTTGTAGGTTGACACAATATATTTATTTTATTTTTATGTGGTGCTGAGGATCAAACCCAGTATCTCATGCATATCACTGAGCCACAACCTCCAGCCCCAGCACCACACTTTTAAGTATGTCCTGCTCCTCTGGGTCCAAACCCAGGTGCCACCAGGATGCCACAAAAAATATAGGAAGATGTAAGTCATAAGGACCTACCCTATAGCAACTAAGACAAGAGAGAGACTGGACTGAGAGAAAGTGTTTGACCTTCAGAATGATACACCCAGCAAGTGGTGGACTTGCTTTGTAACAGTTCATGAATAAGAGTCTTTCATAACCTGAGCAGTGAAGGAAGCCTGAAAAGCCACCATCTCCAGAGCCCAGGGCAGCATTTTACAGTAAGATGTATACAATCCTTTACCTTTATTTCATAAAATTTTATACAGAAGAGAGAAAAGAGCACGTATTTACTTGAAAAGCTCTTGATTTGATAAAGTATTCAGGGAGGGAGCCAAGCAAGGAATGAAATTTTCTGCAGGGTTGAATTGGTGCTTAGTAAGAATGAATAATAATAAATTTCTCATATTTCAGGTCAAAAAATAAATGGATAAAGTGGGGTTCGGGTAACAATTTTCTTAAAATTTGGTATGTTTTTAGTGTTTATTTTTTAGTTACAGGTGGACACAATCTTTTTGTTTTATTTTTATATGGTGTTGAGGATTGAACCCAGTGCTTCACGAAGCATGCTAGGTAAGCGCTCTACCTTTGAGCCACAACCCCAGCCCTAAAATTTGGTATTTTAAAAAATATGTAAAAACAAATCATTAATACCTATTTCTGTTTAACACATTACCACAAAACTCAGAGTGGCTTAAAATAACAAATATTTACTATCTTTCACAGGGTCCGCAGATCAGGAAATTGAGAGAAGTTGGCATAGGCAGTACTGGATTAGGGTCTCTTGTGAGACTGTAGTCAGGTGTCATCATTTGAAGCACTAACGGAGACAAGGATGTACACGTCCACTGTCAGTTCACTCACTTGGTTGGCAAGTGATGCAGGGTGTTGGCTGGAGTCAATTTCTCTTCACGTGGGTCTCTAAAGGGTTGCCTGAGTGTCCTTACACCATGTGATCCATCACAGCACGAGATCCATGAGACCAAGGAACAAGTCACAATGTCCTTTAGGCTGTAGCCTCAGAAGCGACACACTGTTGCTTCCACATTTTTCTTTAAGTCACATTAGCCAGTCTGATTCAGTGCAAGAGGGAATTCTACTGAAAGAATGAACATCAGTAGACTAGGGTCACTGTGGGTGAGCACCTTGGACATTGGCTGTTACCTATACTTCTAACTAAAATTACTAAATTTGTCTCTTGAATTCAGCAGCAATATCAAGATTTCTGTCTATTCAGACAGCTTCCTTTTTTCTTTTTGGTAGTTGTAGATGGACAGAATGCCTTTATTTTATTTTTATGTGGTGCTAAGGATTGAATCCAGTGCCTTACATATGCTAGGCAAGCGCTCTGCCACTGAGCTACAACCTCAGCCCCCAGACAGCTTCCTTTTAAAAATACAAACTCAGGGGTTGGGAGTGTAGCTCCTGAGTCGGTGAAAAGGAGAAAAATGATGATTTTACAAAATTTCACATTAAATTTAAGAGTTCAACATTCCTCTCTCCATAATTAAGTAGTGCTCCCACCAAAAACACACACAAGACTCCATGACAATGGCTTCTTGACCAGAATGCCAGCACTATTCAGGGGCCTTTTTCCTAGAATATAAATTTAATATAAACGTTCTATTCCTTTAATTATAAAGTACTTCACACATTGGTGCAAAATATCAAAAGTCTAGTTAGTGCTTCAGTTGATGATAATATTATCTGACTTGTTTTGACCTCTTACTATGTGCCAGACACTGCTAAACTATGTTTATTACCTCAATTGGCCCATCCTACAGATAAGGAAAAGAGGTGCACTTGTGATAGCACAATGTGGTAAGTGGCAGAGCCAAGACAGGAATGAGCCTGACACCTGGCACTGGTGTTTTAGCATGGGTTGAATGTAAATCGCTAAAGTTTATCACTGAAAACTGAGTCCTTAAAAATCATGTTAATTGCTTTTAGAGGAGGGGCTTTAGGAAGGTAATTAGGAGTAACAGAGATCAGGAGAGAAGATCTCCATTATAGCTTTCTGGGAGGAAGAGACCTGCTTGCCCTTTGATGCCCTCTGCCCTGTTATGCCCTCCCGAGGTGCTGAGCAGATGCCAGTGCCATCCTCTTTGATTTCCCAGCCTCCAGAATCATGAGCCAAATAAATTTCTATTCTATGCTGTTTCAGATATTTTGTTACAGAATACAGACTGTCAGAAAACGTACTAAGACACTTCCTTGTCTCCCTCTTAAATCTGAAAGCCCATTCACCCACATACACCAGAGACCCCTTTTTTTAAAAAAAAAAATTATTTTTTAGTTGTAGTTGGAAATAATGCCTTTATATTATTTATTTATTTTTATGTGGTGCTGAGGATTGAACCCATGGAATCGCACATGCTAGGCGAGGAGGGCTCTTCCACTGAGCCACAACCTCAGCCCCAGAGAGACCCTTTTAAAAGATTGCCACCACTAAAAATAATTCAAACTTCAGCCAAATAGTTTAGAAGGTTCTAACTGATCTGCCACTTCTCAATTTATAGTCTCAACTCCTACTAGTCCTAGACTTATGCAAGACCCTCTGGCCTCCTGGTAGGTCTAATAATACACCAGGCCTGTAAAAGACCTGTGCCCCCTCACATTTGTTTCCTCAACCTTAGGAGAAATTTGTTTTATCTACTTTTTTTTGTTTAAAAGAAGTATTCAAAGGATAGGTGTGGAATGCCATGCTGTCCATATACATCAAGGACAGGAACCTCTGGTTCAATGCTGTACCTCTAATATATTTTAATGAAAATTTGAGAGTAACTTGAGAAGGAAGTCTTGCTGAGATATTTAATCTGAGACCTACACAATGTGAAGCATCTAGCCATACAAAAAGTATCAGAAAGTACTTTCCATTTAACCAGGAGAAAAAAACAGGCAACAGACTTGTTGAAAAGCTAGTCCTCTGGTGGTGAAGAACTAAAGGGAGTCCCTGGTAGGGCTGGAGTATAGAAAGCCTGATGAAACCCAGTAGGAGATGAAGTTGGTAGGAGAGGACAAATCAGGCATGGCCTTGTAAACAAAACGAAAAGTCAAGTCTTCTTGAACACAGTATAGGAAAGCCTTTAAGCAGAAAAAAATCACAGGGTCTAAGTGTTTATCACCCTGGCTGCTGGTAGTGCATAGGTTGGAGAGGGCAAAGAAAAACAGGGAGACTAATTAGAAGGAAATTATAATAATCCAGAGACAGTGGTGGTTTGGACTACAGTAATAGCTCATAGCATAATAGAACTGCAGGTAGGTGAGAAGATGCAAGGTGAAAAAGAAAAGCAGAAAGGAAGATTTTGGGTGTAGGCAAAAAAACTTTAGTGAAAAATGAAGCCATTTATTATAACAAATAAAATGAGATTGGGGAAATTAAACTGACAATTTGCTAACTACTTAAGTAGAAAGATGGAAATGGGGGGGGGGGGCGGCAGCGGCCCCAGGGAAGGCAGAGGTGGCGGAGACCATGGCTGGAGGCAAAGCTGGAAAGGATAGTGGGAAGGCCAAGGCCAAGGCAGTGTCTTGCTCACAAAGAGCTGGACTACAGTTTCCTGTGGGCTACATCCACAGACACTTGAAGACTCGCACCACAAGCCATGGACGGGTGGGTGCCACTGCTGCCGTATATAGTGCTGCGATTCTGGAGTACCTCACTGCTGAGGTGCTGGAGCTGGCAGGTAATGCTCCCAAGGATCTCAAAGCAAAGCGTATTACTCCACGTCACTTGCAGCTTGCAATCCGTGGTGATGAAGAGTTGGATTCTCTTTTCAAGGCTACCATAGCTGGGGGTGGTGTGATCCCTCATATCCACAAATCTCTGATTGGAAAGAAGGGACAGCAGAAAACTGCTTAGAGGGTTGTTTTAACCAATCCTCTTCCTCCCCGTCATTGTACTGTAACTGGGACAGAAGATAACAGTGGGGATATGTGGAATTTTTAAAAGCAGTTAAATGGAAAGGCATAGACAATTACTGTAGACATGCTAAAAGAAACATTTGTATGTTCTTAGACTCGAAGTTTGATAAAGTACCTTTTCATGTGGTGATAGTGTGTGTTGATTGGCTAGGTTTCTCCCATATGTTTTATACAAAAATGGAATTGATAAACCGTTTTTTTTACAAAATTATTGTCTCAAAATTGTTCTGTTCATGATGTATTGAAAATATTTTGCTCAGCTTTCGAAATTTTTTTAAATCATTATTCAGAATAGTCTTAAAGTAGAAATTGGGAATACAGCTTTATCATGATTGATATTCCATGTTGTATTGAATGTCAGACGCTATCAATTTGTTATAATGCTCCATTATCTTATTATATACCACTAAGGAAGGAAAACTCCTTGAATTAATGCCCTCAATTATAGGATACATCTCAATTTCAGAGATGTTACAATATGGGAAAAATATGCATTTAAGACTGAAATGGGGTAGAAGATTTACTGGAATCCTTTACTGAGTACTTACCACGTGCCAGGCCCTGTGGTCAGTGCTTTACTAATCAAGAAATCTTATGCTCACATTATAGACATGGTTCCTGAGATTCACAGAAATTAAATGATTTGCCAAAAAATATTTAGGACTAACAGAGCAGAGCTAGAATATAATATACACCTAGATCTTAATGACTCTAGAGCCCACACCCTTACCTAGATTTAATGTTAGATTTATCAAACATTTCTGCTTTTGGCTTAAAATTCCAACTTTTGGTGGTCTTTTATTGATATAGTAACAGTAATTTGTACAATCTTTTAAAAATTATTTTTCGTTGTCAGTTTCTAAATAACTGTTAGAAGATTTAAGTTAATGTACTAATTAATGGTTCATCAGAAAATTCTATTTTTCTGTCTGGAAATCTTCATAAAGAAGGAAATTTTTGATGTTTTAAAAACAAAACTCAATTTTGAAAATATTTTATTATGGAAATCCTCACAAATACACAAAAATAAAGAGAACAGTATGATTAAGCCCATCTTCCAACTTCAAAAAAAAAAAAAAGAAAGAAAGAAAGATGGAAATACATCCATACAGAGGATATACAGCCATATTATTTTTGGAAACATACATCTGAATGGTGACTACCACACAGGATTTTGTACTGTTTACATGCTTTAAGAAATCAAGTCAGTATGACTTTTTCCCATTAGTAACTAATTTTAAATTGGTTTTAAATGTAAAAAAAATTATGTCACTCTTTTCCTCCAAGGAATCTAAATTATTTGCACACATATTTAAAACTTAAGACTATTCAAATTATATGTCAGAAAACAGAGGAAATTCAGAAGGCAAGTTTTTATTTATCTCGTTTTTATTAATCTAATCTCTTAAAGGTAGAATGATCTGTTTCTCAGAATTCCTGCATTTGAATTCCTGCAGTTAATTCATTGACTGAAGCACTGTCCTTGTCTACCAAGAATGCATCTATGTACAGAAATAGTTGAAATGAAGTTACCATTAAGAGCTGGTGGATCTAGATTGGGGTGGTTACCATCACACACACAAAAATAGACTACTACAATCCAGACAAAATAGAAGGTGTTGACATAATATTAAGAAATAAGAAATAATTCTCAATTAGATGTGTGGGAGTACTAAGACTCTGTTTTAACTAGATGGATAACAGTGCAAGTTATAGAGACAAAAGGGATAGGTTTAAGAGTCAGAATTTCCCTTAAGTGTGGGAGAAATAAACAGGTGAGGGTATCCAGTAAGTAGTATAGACAAGGGAGATGGAGCTTGTATTTGTCGTGGTGGTTTATTGGCTAGATTCAGAGTTTTACTACCCCAGCATAAAAAGAGAACATTAATGTTTACATGTTAGATAAGAAAAGAACTTGAAAAAAAGAAGGACTGACAGTAGTATTAGAAAAGCAGTATCTGACAGACCAGGGTAGAGAGAATGATAAAGTGCTATAGAGTTCAAGAGAAGACAAATCACAGTATAATAAAGAACCCAGAGCCCCTGAAGTTTGCCAAATAGAAGCAGGATAAGAGAAGAGGACAGGTGGGGGCAGTACATCAAGATTAGATCTACCAGCTGGGTGCAGTGGCTCACATCCAGGATCCCAGCAACTCAGGAGGCTAAAGCAGGAGGACCAAAAGTTCAAAGCCAGCCTCAGCATCTTAGCAAGGCCCACAGAAACTGAGCAAGACTCTACCTATAAATAAAATAGAGAAGGGCTGGGGATGTGGCTCAGTGTTTAAGTGGCCCTGGGTTCAATCCCTGGTAACGAAACAGGATTAAATCTACTTAAGTCTCAAAAAGCAAATGTATTATTAATGCTACTTATCTCCTACTGAAAACCTACTATGTACAAGGTGGTGGCTTAGGGCTTTACATATACTATTTCACTAAACCTCAATAATGCTTATGATCTGAGTGTTTTTATTATTAACCATGAAAGGAAGATACATCAGGAAAAACCAAAGGTCACAAAGCTACTAAATAGAAGAACCTACTATTGTTTAATGCCAGTAACCTGCCATCCTATTACTTCCTACCACGCATGCATCATACACAATAAATTAATTACATTTTTAAGAACCTAGCTTAATAAGAACTGAAACAAAACTGAAACTAGATTAACTAGTGTATAATATCATACACCTAGATTTTTCATACTAGTGTACCTGTTATTTGCTCAAAACAGTCAATCCAATCAAGATTTTTTTTTTTTTTTACCATTGAGCCACATCCCCAGTCTACACCATCTCAGTCTTCTATCTTTTGAGCTGAGTACTATGCTAAAGGTATTTTCAGTCAAAATAGAGATGTGTACTTTCCCTGAGAAAACTACTTTAAAATGGCATAAATCCATTCCTTAAAATTAATCTCTCCTGAAAATTACAAGTTACCCAGAAAGCTCTTGAAGTGTTAAGATAGAATTGTCTAATGATGAGTCTATAATTATTCTCTACTATCCCTGTCCAATCCAGTAACCACAAACCATCCAGGGCTACGGAAAGCACAAAGTGTGGCATAACTAGGAATTAATCTTTAAGTTTTACTTTTTCTTTTTTAAGAAACAGGGTTACTGTTTGCACAAACTGGCCCCATTTGATCCTCCTTCCTCAGCCTAAAAGTAGCGGGAACTACAAGCACATGCTAGAGCATCCAGCAAAATTTTACTTCTTTTTATTATTTTTTATTTTTATAGTTGTAAAAGGACACAGTACATTTTATTTGTTTGTTTCTATGTGGTGCTGAGGATCAAACCCAGTGCTTCACATGTGCCAGTCAATCTCTCTACCACTGAGCCACAACCCCCCAGCCCTTATTTCTTTTTAAGCAAGGTGAATTTACTCAGCCACTAGTGGCTAATATATTGGACACTATGTACAAGGTGGTTTGAGAACATCAACCTGGCATGCTCACTAAAATTGCCTAGAACTTTTAGTCCTAATGACTGCTGGGTGTGGTTACCCATGCACGGAATCCCAGCAACTTTGGAGACTAAGGCAGGAGGACCTAACCTGAGCAACTAGTGAGATCCTTTCTCAAAATAAAAAAATAAAAGCATTCCTGGGTTTAAAAAAAAAGGGAAATTGTAATGACTGCAGGGCTCACCTGTACTCCCAGGACTCAGAGGCTGAGACAGGAGCACCTCAAATTGAAGGTACACCTTGGCAAAGCAACACAAGAGACTGTCTCAAAATAAAAGTAAAAATAAAAAAGAGTGTGAGGGTGTATCTCAGTGGTAGAGCACCCCAGGCTGAATTCCCAATATCACACACATTTTAAGAAAGTTTTGAAAAAGAAAATTCCTAATGACTAAATCAAAGCCAATTTAGCCACACATAGTGACATAAGCCTGTAATCTAAGTGACTGGAGAGGGTTAGGCAACAGGATTACAATTTGAGGCCAGCCTCAGCCATTTACCAAAACTCTAAACCTTGAGGCTCTGTTTCAAAAATTAAAATGCACTGGAGAAGTGGTTCAGTGGGCTTTTAAAGTGCCTCTGGGTTCAATCTCCAGTATCAGCTCCAAAAAAGCCAACTTCAGGGAAGAGAAGGGCTCTAAAGGAAGTAGCAAGGCATAATATCTGTAACTCTTGCATAATTTTATTTTTTGCTGTAAATCCCCAGATCTTTGTTTTTTAAGAGACAGAGAATTTTTTTAATATTTATTTTTTTAGTTTTTTGGCGGACACAACATCTTTGTTTGTATGTGGTGCTGAGGATCGAAACGGGCCGCACGCATGCCAGGCGAGCACTCTACCGCTTGAGCCACATCCCCAGCCCCCCAGATCTTTTGTGAGCGTTTCACTAAGTTGTCCTGGCTGTCCTTAAACTTTGTGATTCTCCTGCCTTCCAAATTGCTGGATCTATAGGTGTGTGCAATCATTCCTGGCAACTCTTACATAATTTTTAGCAGCTCAGGGAACTTCTTCAATTGCAGATTTTACTTCTGGATCTGGAGTGAGGGGTTTTTTAAAACTCTCCGGTGATGTTGATGATGGTGATACAGCAATGCTCTAAAACCAATTAAACTGGTATGTCATCTAATTCTTCGGAATGAAATGAAAACCATAGTTCTTAGACCATAGGATATAATGCCTCCTTTACATAGGAGAGTTAAGACTTATAAATGATTATGAGGTATATGGATAATTATCAAATTTGAATTGTTAATATTCTAAAGTACTTAACACTGGAGTAGCACAGTGAGATAAAAGTAAAACTTTACCTACATGAAAAGTTAAAGATTAAATCACTTTGACAATAAACCTTTTTTTTTTTTTTTAAATCTTAAGTAAGGATATTTGGTGTTTCCTGGAATATTTTTAGTGTAGCACTGGGTTAAGGTCTATATCACCTTGCTAGGAAAGTTATTGCTACTATCCTAACATAAGTAGATAAATTCAAGTGCTCTCCTATTGGAAGGTTTCACTAACCCTTGATGTTGTATAGAAAGAAAATGCCCCCCCCCCATTCTGGCTAAGCCTTAGCTTTCCCTGACTAGTTCTTCCAGAGATTAGTTTTAAGCAGAATTTAGTTTGGGGTGAAGAGGACATTATTAGTACCTCTCATGTAACTTCCCCTGTG